AATATTCACGAGCGGTTCTCGATGATAAGACCTGAAGGTCTTCTGCGAGTCTCCGCGTTCTTTTTTTTTTGTATATATTTTCTTTTATTGTACAACGATTTTTATCTCAACTATCTTATTGTATAACTATATTGAATATTCAAGAAAAAAGCAAAAAAAAAAAAAAAAAAAAAAAAAATTAATCTTACAAACAACATCAAGACATGAATATTGAAGAACATTTACCTTGGTTGACCACTTGAAACAAGTTCTTTCCAGATGCAGTAGAATATTCGATATGAGAAATATTTATATTATCGTCATTGACCTAAAGGCTGAGTTGAAAATAAAACAACTTCTAACCATTGGTGCTTCCTAAATATTTCTTAAATTTAAATAATATGGTTAATAAATTATTGTTTATATATCTTTATAAAAGAGATCTAATAAAAAATATATATATTATAGTGTTAGAACGTCTTACATTTTGATTCCTGCTTTTTTTGATTCCTGCTCTTTTTTTGTTTAGCCCATCTAGAAAATATATTAAAAGTATGAAGGAAATTGCAAAATATTCATCTTAAGTCTCAAGAAAAGAATAAAATTACATTTTATATCATACATAATTTAAGTATTAGTAAATATTAAGTTAATTTACTTGCCTAAAACATAATAATCAAACTTGTTGAGTTATCACATATTCACTTTTAAGTTCTGTATTTTTGGTGTTAGGTTCTAATTATTTTTGGTTTTAAGTTCTGAAATTTTGTATTTTTTGAGTAAATTTTGTATTTTTGATGTAAGTTCAATTTTTTTGGTGTTAAGTTCAGTATTTTTGGTGTAAATTATGTATTTTTGATGTTTACTTAAGATTAGTAAAATTACTATTTGTAAATATCCATAAAAATATTTTTTCAGAATATATATGATCGATTGGTTTAACTTTGTTCTCATCAGCTAGTGAAGCTGCTCTGGACTCATTTTCTTCCCACGTTCTTCTCTATACATAAAAACCTGCATTACCAATGCTTTTTGCTTCAAAGAATATCTGAAAACTTTTCTTCTTGTTAATAACTATCCAATAGTTTTTTGAAGTTTTGAATCCCTTCTTCAATAGCAGAATGCGATAAAAACGGATAATCAGAAGAACTTAGCTTCGAAATTTTAATTTTATTGATATAAGATAGTCTTATTCTGTCTGTTATAGATTTTTTTAGGTTGAAAAGTATGGTTTTCTGATAGCATGTATTCTTCTAATAATCCATTATCAAAAAATAATTCAGCAAACCAACTCTCAAGTTTTATGTACAAAAGTTGAGAGTGTCAGCACTTCTATCAACACGTAGTTTTTTAGAAATTGTTGGTGTAGTATAATTTTTGGAAATCGAACTAAAGGGCTTAACAATTTCAATCGAAGTATGGAATGTCACATTTGTGTAGTTTCATATACCTTTACAGATTTGGAAGTAATTTCAAATTATCATGTGATTCGGTAAAAACTAAAAAGAATGTTGGCTGTTTATCTTGGCAATCAGATTTGGTCCTAATACAATAGAGGTTTTGGAGTCTATTATAACCACACCAACATCAACCTTTACTATTATGAAGAGCCTCATGAAGATCTTCTGCATTCAATAAATTGCTGGCTCTTTATTGCATTGATGTTTTCCAAGTGAAGACACTTCAATCATACCTTGTAAATGGCTTATAATAAGAAGTTTCAATAATAAGGTGATTATCTGGCTTAGCATAAAGATTTTTTAAATAAGGGAAATCATTTTTAACTTTGGCCAACACACCATCAGCGAGACAGAGTACATTAACAAAGGTTTGCTCACATCTATGAAACTTTTGTTAAGTTTTTTGTTACATTAAAAAAGCTTAAAAAATAATTTTTATCAAACAATCTTTTACACTTCCGTTATAAAAACTTTATTTTATTATTATTTATTTTATTATTATTTATTGATCAGCACAGCAGTTTTATGCCCATTAGGGTTTTTAATTTAATTTAATATCCATAACCTAATGAAAATGTATATAGGGGGCTCTATGAAAAGATTGCGATGTTTTGTCATCTTCATCTTCTTTGAGCCCCTGTCTGTTTAACTCTTTATTTTATAAAGATCATTGTAAAAAAGTATAGTTTATTTTATATACTGTATATACAAAAACGGTGCTTGTTGACAAGATTTTGTCTTCTTTGTTATACGGACATATTTCTTTCTTTCTTGTATATATATGTGTTGATTATATTTGTTAAACAGCAAAATAAATGTAAAAAAAAAAAAAAAAAAAAATTTAATTTGAGTATTAGTTATTAAAGATTTAACGTTGCGAGCAGCCGTGGTTAAACGTTCTACTCCTTCTCAAGCTCTTGCATGCACATAACTTTTTTTTTGTATAAAACCAGTGTATGTCTTAATGGCTTTCAAAATCAATTTATCTGCAAGTAACCTTAATAGATAATAATACTTAAATTTACGGGTAAAATTTCAAATATAGTGGTTTTGAACAGTGATTTTCAGATAACAAAAAGAGTATTGAACTTTTACTTTTACTGTAAAAATATACCCGGAGTAACAGAAAAGTAAAAAAGAAATGTCTCTTAAATAAATGTTGCTAAAATTGCCTCTCAAAGTTGCGATTGCTTTCCATGCACAAAAAATTTTACAAAATGGGTAAAATTCGGGACCCAGTATTTCCACAATCAATCTAAAAATGAAGACATCACTTTCAGACTTTGCCTAAACTTCTCAGATAGTAGTTTTTAAATAGCAGAAGGACTACATTTTATTACTCAAGCACTTATTCTTTTTTTATTACATAAAATATATATATATTTTTTTACATGTTTATTTTACAATTACAAAGTATTTGCAAGTAACCAATCACAGATTGGCGGTAAAGCTATACGAACACAAATATCATAAACATAAAGTTTGAAATATACGAAGTAAACAAAAATATAGTAGTATACAACTCCGAGACACGATTAAAATAAACACCAATTACAAAAATGTAGTTACGTGTACGTAAAAATAATCCGATAAATATATCTCTATATTATTCCAGTTAAAATAAAAAAATACAATTAATAAAAATAAATTAGCTGATTTTTCGGAGAGGTGTTTAGATATTTGACTATAAATTTATTTACCACATTTCAAGCTAATGTTTGTGTATAAATATGATAAAAACGAAAATTGTGTAAGATTGATTAGAAGAATTACTTGTTAGTAGTTATAGGAAACTCGCAGAAGACTTAAGTCAATCTTGTTATCGAGTACCTTTTTCTGGACGTGTAATACACATAAAAATCAGTTGTATACGTGGTATATATTTATGTTGTACAAATATACCTTGTTATTAATATCATTTTTTATTACCGATTTGCATTATAAGTTAAGCTACATTAAATTATTTTTTTATTATTAATATTTAAAAAAAATTCCTTTTAGTTGTTTAATTTGACTATTGTAGATTTTAGCTTTATTTTCAGAGAGTGTTTGTTGTTTAGGTTTAATAGTGATTCGTTTCTGGAAACTAATTTGTTAAATAAATAGGGACCACGATATGTAATTGAGAATTTTGAGAGTCTTGTTGTTTCAAACGGTATCTTAAAGTTGCCTGTTGTTCTTGTATTGTATTTATTTATACTGTTTTTAAAAAAATGTGTTGCAAAATGTTCTGGAACCAGATTTAGTTCACGAAAAGTATATTTTGAAAAATATTTATTTGAAATATATTTAGTGGGTTCATTTCTTCCAACAAGGCCTTGTTAATTTGCTCATGCTCAACCCTTGCAAGGGTTGAGCATGAGCAAATTTATTTTTTGTTGTATACTAATCTTGAAGCGTGTTTTTGACGTAGGTAAAGTAGTTCTAATTTAGATTTGTGGGTACTGCCCCATGCTATATTGGCATACATCAGGTAGCTGTGTATGAATGAAAAGTAGACAAGTTTTAGACTTTTTTGTGACAAAAATGGTCTTACTTTGTTTAGTAAACCAACGTTCTTTTATATCTTTGTGTTGATGTAGTTTGTTTAAAAGTTATTAATTAATTTAACAACATTAAACACAACAAACGACATAGTAAAAAGACAATCCAAAATACATTATCACAAATTTTGTGAATATTAAATTCGTTTAATTGCATACTAAAAATGCCAAAATAATCTTTTTAAGATGTCTTTGAGTTCATAGCTAGGCTATCTTTTCTAACTATAACTGTATTTTTAATTACATAATTTTAGAGTCAACCTATATTTAAACACAAAAAAGTGATGCACTAGATAACATTGAAGGATTCTATATAAATAATTTTTTTTTTCATGGTTCTAACCCTCATAAAAAATTATTATGCATAAAAATATATATGAGTATAATGGTAGGCTCTCTTGTCAAACCCCTATTCCGACGTTGAGCGTCCTTTGCGTCCGTGAGCTTGTATTTCTAGAAAATAGATGAAATGGGGTATATAGAGATTTGCGCTGCGGTGTGCACATACACCGACTGATTTTTGGAGAAAACATGCAGCGGAGTGAGGAAACAACGACTGAGGGTTTGGAGTAGGCAGGTTCTCTTTTAAATAAAAAAAGTCGTTTTTTTACATTTTCGGACCTTGAGGACAGCGTCGGAATAACGGTTTGACAAGAGAGCCTACCGAATATAATACGTTATTAAATGGGATGGATAATTTATTTCGGCAGCCCCCCCCCCAAAAAAAAAAAATAAATAAATAAATTGAAAACGTTATAAAAAGACACGATAAAAAAAAAAAAAAAAAAAAAAAAGATAAATTATACGCGATTCTTAGTAGACGACTACAGCTTAATTATTCATCAAAAGAATTCGAGGAACCTTGAATTCATACAACATAAAAAATGTTGTAATGACATGCAAAATTTTCAAGAAATACTAGCCATCCGAGAACATTAAATGTGGTGCTTACCACATTTAACTAAAGAGAACTTGTCTGTTCTAACCACTGAATCAAAAAATTGAAGTTCAAAGTGTATACAGATAAATTCAAAAAAAATTTATTCCCGCAAAATCTCATTTACCACACACCATAATAAACTGTTGAATTACACGAAAATTAATTTTAAAAATGAGTAAAAAAAAACATTTCGCGTTTCGCATTCACGTTTAAATCGTTTGATTACAATTAAATTATGTTTAAATTTACACAAATACAAAAATTTTGTTAATTGACTAAGAACATATCAAAAAGAAATGTCTGAGAGATTTCACTTAAGTATTCAAAGAAATGAATATATAAAAAAATAGATATTTTAGTTTAAAAATTATAAATCATTTTACTAAATTTGTGATGGCAAAGTTCCGACTCTATTGCGCGCAATACTATTAGGTGTTTGATCATTTTCTCCAAAATGATCATTATCTTGTTCAGTTTTTATAGAAGTATTACTTGAATATAAAGAATTCATAACCATAGATGTTGAAAGATCAAGATCGCTACATTCACCATGTTCAGCCTTATATTTTGCTTCAATTGCATCGCGTCTTCGTTTGCAGGAAGGTAAGTGAGCTTGCATATGGGATTTTTGTTTGAAAACTCTACCGCAATCGCAATAAATTTTTTCTAAGTCATGAGTTAACTTATGGCGAGTTAAATGTGATTTTCTTGTGAACACTTTATGGCATTTATTACACGGAAATCGGGGATCACCCTTCTTACGCTCTTTTTTATCTAACACATTTAATGAAGCATTTTCAATTGAAGGTGTTGTTGATAAATTACCAGAAGATAAACTGTCTGCATTTTGAGAATCTAGTTTAGAAAGTTTAGGAAGTATGGTAACTAAGCTATTTGCTCTGGAAGAGTAAGTTGAATCTGGAAACGATGGTGAAGACACGCTAACTGTTAAAGTTGTTGGCGATGTAGCAGTCGAGGGTATATTCATCAGATGTGTTTGACGATGACGCTTTAAGTCACTATTATCAGCAAAACCTTTACTGCAAATTGGACATCTGAAAATAAACACTGAAAAATCGATTATTTAGAAAAAACTACCTGTTATAGAGTTAACCATACAGTTTCTAGTTAACCATGGGGAACGTCATTTAACTTCAGGTATTGAAAGCGTATTTTTCGTCTTTTATTAAAAATAAAACCTATGTAAATTCAAGTAATACAGATAGTCTGTAAAAATGATTTAGACAATTAAAACTTTATACACATGGAGATTTTATATTATTTTAATGTTTAAATTCAAGTAAAAGTACACACAAAATGTTCCTTTGATAACAAGCTGTTCTGCCTTAAATAAATTTTACCAAATATTTAAATTTGTTTAACTTTTTGAGGTTTAACCTTAAAACCGTGCACGATTTTATTTAGACTAAAGGCCTTTTTTTTAAAAAAAAATTGAATTAGCAAAACAAATTTTATATTTGTCTAACTGTTAAATAAAAAGTACTTTAACAAACATCTTTTTCAGTTTAAAAAAAATACCATCATCTACAAATCTCACTATGAACTCTAATACCTAATATATGCACCTGGGAAGTTTAATCGGTAATAAGTTAATCACATCATCATTTAACAGTTAAATTTTTAAAAATTAATGTCATCTACAAATCTGATCGCATGAAGAATTTCAATATCTAATATTTGTATATGAGACCATTTATGGACCAAGTTAGTGATAAGTTAATCGCATTAACAATACACTTAAATTACTTTGTTTAAATTTTTTAAATAAATTTATCAAATTAATGCCCTTTGTTATCGATGCACAATGTCAGGGGCTATTCTAAACCGTTTTCGACAGAGTCGACCGTATTTGGGCACCACCCAAATTAAAATCGAGGGCCTTTTTTTAACGGCAAATAATGTTTTTTCTGCGAAAAAACGCTGATATTCGGCAATATTTCCGCTAAATTTCTCCAGGACGGGGGGGGGGGGGGGGGTACCACATTTAACTAAAGAGAACTTGTCTGTTCTAACCACTGAATCAAAAAATTGAAGTTCAAAGTGTTTACAGATAAATTCAATTGGGGGGTAATTTTTTTCCTAGAATAGCCTCTGAATGTTATCGTAATATTTGCACAATGTTATCGTAATATTATTATAAACAAATTGTTTTTCTTTAACTCAATTGTTTTTTATGCCAAAGATTGGCATTACTATGTTAAACCATTCATAAATAAACATTTGAAGTAACTATTATTTATATTCTATTAGAAGAATCATTAACGATTGCAACATTAATTCCCTAGGACATTATTTCTGCACAAAGGAATTGTAGTATGAACCTGCATATAAAAGCCAAAATGCTAAACTTGCGAATATATATATATATATATATATATATATATATATATATATATATATATATATATATATATATATATATATATATATATATATATATATATATATATATGTATAATATATATTTATATATATACATATATATATATATATATATATATATATATATATATATATATATATATATATATAAATATATATTATACATATATATATATATATATATATAGGCTCCGGCTAAATATGAGATTTTTACAACCCCAGCCCGGGCTAAACAATAATTCTAGCAGGCGTTATTTACCAGGGCTAGGATATTTTTTTTACTAACTACAAACTTTTTAGTGTTTTCGTTTTTCTTTTTCAAGCTATTAAAGTAATAATATATAAGTAATAATATATATATTTAAGCGTGGCCTTTAAAACAACATTTTTGAAATTGTTCTATGTAATACAAAAACACCAGGTTTAAAAATATTTGGAAAAAAAAGGGTTGCTTAAGACCATTAAACATCATTATATATATATATCTATATCTATATATATCTATATCTATATATATCTATATCTATATATATCTATATCTATATCTATATATATCTATATCTATATATATCTATATCTATATCTATATATATCTATATATATCTATATCTATATATATCTATATCTATATCTATATATATCTATATATATCTATATATATCTATATCTATATCTATATCTATATCTATATCTATATCTATATCTATATCTATATATATATATATATATATATATATATATATATATATATATATATATATATATATATATATCAATCTATCTATCTATCTATCTATCTATCTATCTCTCTCTCTCTCTCTCTCTCTCTCTATATATATATATATATATATATATATATATATATATATATATATATATATATATATATATATATATATATATATATATATATATATAGTATATATGAAAAGCTCCACTTTTACCTAAGATTTCAAGACTAATTTTGTCTCGAGTTCAAAAATGGATTGCTGTTCATGTAAGATCAAGTCAATACATGTTGCATTTCAAAATGTTTAAATGACTCAAATGGTTTACTGAACCACGAGGAAAATATTTTCAAATTTTTAAAGAAAGATTTCTTTCACCTCTAATTCCTAGAAGTTATTTATAATTACCAGTCAACAAGACCATATATTAATAATATCTTATTGAATCACAATAAGCAATTTAAATTATCATAAAACAAAATGACACTATCAGCCAACAAAACAGTATACTTCTATTTTTCAATCTCTACATCTTGCAACAAAAAACATTCCATTTGACCTACACTGCCGTATTATAGAAAACAACCTTTAGAATTAAGTGTGCAAGATTTATTTTGCATAGTTAATTTTGCCTAACAATCACAAAATAAGAATTCTTATAAGAAGCCCTAAGATTTAAGAAATAATAAGTCGACAAAAAATTGCCGACCTAAAACAGTTTTAGGTCAGCATCAGGTCGGCATAAAATTTAGAAACAGGGTTTGACAAATCAACAACTACAGAGTTCGCCAACTATTCTTTCAAATGCTGGTATTCAAAAAATTGATAAAACATCACACCGTTTTACGAATTTATTAGAAATTTAAATGTAACTTAGTTTTGCAGATTTTATTTTAATTATTTTATCTAGAATTAATAAACATAGATCATCCAAACCAAATTTTAAAACTCCAGAAAATTGTTTGGGTAAAATATCCTGAAAATATTTTCTTTTAATTTTGCTTTTAGCTGAGTTGTTTCTAATTTTTTTTTTTTTTCAAACTTTTTTTAGTTTTGATGAGTGAGAAAGCTTAAAAAACAAATATATTACAAAAATATATACCTAAACTTGTATGTATGTAAAACGTTTTGGATATCTGGAAAAACTAAAAGTTAAGAAAAATATCCGGTATTCCGGAAATATCCGAAAAAGATAATCCATGAATAAAGCGTTCGTTTCTTCCATTTTAATTTTAATTATTTTATTAAATATTTAAATAAAACGTTAGTTTTTCAATTGTTTTTTGTATTTATTTAGAATTTAATAAAAACCTTCATCTTTATCATAATTTAATTTGGAATTAAAAAGAATTAAATATAATAAATAAAAAAAAAAATTATTTAAAAAATACATTTAAAACGATTTAATTAAATGTTTGTATTAATTTATGTATTTTAAATTAATTTGTTTAGAGTTAAAATAATTTTTTAGAACTAAATTAATTTGTTTAAAACTAAACTAATTTGTTTAGAATTAAATTAATTTGTTTAGATTTATAAAAAAAATTTAATTATTCTACTTAGAATTTAAATATTTTTCCGTTATAATTTTAACTATTTTATATGTCTGGTCGGCAGTTAAATCGGCATTGTCAAATGTCGACCCTAATTTGTTATTATAAATATCAAATATTTTAAGATTTTATTTATAAGAACTTTCACATATATAAAAGAAAATTTAAATAATAATAATATATAAAACAACAACAATAATAAAAAATACATGATTTATTTCTTCTTAATAGAACTTACACGATGTCAATATCAGAAACAGAAAGTGTTTTTTAGTGGAATAAAATGTGTTTATTCTGTTTGTTAGCTCTGGTTATCATTTCAAAATAATAAAAACAAATTACCATCTGAAAATACTCATCTCTTTTTTATCTCACTAACAAAGAAGCAAAAAAAAGTAATCTATATAAAAAACATTTTTTGTTTTTGATTTTGACATTGTGTGAGTTCTGCCGAGAAGAAAAAATTAAGTATTATTTATTATTATTCATGCTGTCTCAATTAAAGTAATTTTATGGACAAAAATATCTGTAAGGTGTAAATTTATTAATACTAAAATATTTTGTAAAAATAAAATTTATTAAAAATTTTTTTAATTTATTCCTAAATTATTCAAGTATTGTAGAAGAAGTCCCTAGTCATCAGTTAAAACATGTGCAAATACTGTTAAAAACTAAAAGTCATCAGTTAAAACATGTGCAAATACTGTTAAAAACTAAAAAGAAGTCCCTAGTCATCAGTTAAAACATGTGCAAATACTGTTAAAAAATAAAAAGTTCAAAATGAATTACCCTTAAGATACACTGAACACTCTTTCAAATAAAACACAAAATAATTTATATACAGATAATTTACAACCAAAAAATATCTCTATATAAATTGTAAAAATAACTAAAAAATTTTTTTTTAGCAGGAACAGTTTAGATATACATCAAAATATACTATTTATTACCTAAAATAATGTTTAACATTTTTCATCAATTTTAACCAATATTTAAACACAATAATTTTACAATATTTGTCACTTTTTCAATAAACAAAAAAGTGTTGTAAAAATTTTGAAAAATAAGTTAGTAAATTAAAAATGCTTAAAAAATATTAATACCAACAATGATATTTTATAACTTTTGAAATTTTATTTTTAAATCATTTTGTTTTTATGATTTCCAGTTTAGATTAAAACTATTTAAAAAAAAAATGTTGTTAACTTTTAATTTAAAAATTTGTTTTTTATTTAAAAGTAAAAAAATTTTTACTTATTTTAGAATGCTTCATCAATAGTTTTTGTAAATTTTAGAATTATTTTTAAAAAAGATCATATATCATTTAAGTCATTTTTAAAAATCTGGAAAATTATTGGTTAAAATATTCAGAAAAAGTTCGACATATGTTTTCCTTTATTTTCCTCCTAATTTTGCTTTTAGATAAAAATAACTCAGCTGATTCGTTTCCAATTTTTTTTTCTTCAAACTTTTACTTAATTTTTGTACGAGGGATGAGTGAGAAAGCAAAAATAAACAAATATATTACAAAAATATATACTTAAACTTGTATGTATGGATAACCTTTTGGATATCTGGAATAAATAAAAGTTAAGAAAAATATCTAGAATTCTGGAAATATGCAAATAAACATATAGTTTATTGTAAACTAGAAAAAGCAAAATCTATTGTTTTGATGCAATTTCAGATGTAACTTTTAATGTTTCACAAAGATACAAAAAATTCTTGATTATCATAAATATGTCTTAACCAGGAATTTTTATAATTTTATTATGATTATATTGGAAAAAAACAAACAAATTTTCAAAATCTTTTTATTTTTTTAAACTTTTTTAACTTCTAATGACAGAAAGGTCTTTCCTTTTCATAGATTCTTAAGTCTTTAAAATAAATTTGCAGAGGTAAAGTCTTGAACTTATAGAAATTCAATGTTCAGTTTCAAAAAACAACCAGTTTTTCAGATTTCCATTCCAAAGAACAATCAATATAACACACTTCTGTTACAAATAACAATGAATATAAAGACTTACTATTCCAAAGAAAAGTTATTATTACAGGCATCCATTCCAAAGAACAATCAATTTAACAGCCTTCCATTCCTAAGAACAATCAATATAACAAACTTCCATTCCAAAGAACATTCAATATAACAAACGTTTATTCCAAAGAACATTCAATATATTAAATTTCTGTTCCAAAGAATAATAAAATTAACAAACTCCAAAGAACAATCACCTCAATAAGTATTAGCAGAAAAGCAAAAACTAACCAAAATATTTTTATAAATTTAATATTGAAAAATTTAAAATTTAATAAGAAAAAATGGTAAATCTTTTTAATAAGAAAAAATGGTAAATCTTTTTAATAAGAAAATATGGTAAATCTTTTTAATAAGAAAAAATGGTAAATCTTTTTAATAAGAAAATATGGTAAATCTTTTTAATAAGAAAAAATGGTAAATCTTTTTAATAAGAAAAAATGGTAAATCTTTTTAATAAGAAAAAATGGTAAATCTTTTTAATAAGAAAAAATCTTTTTGTGATGGTATAAGTAGTATGCTTAAGAGGATAACTAGATGAAAAATAAATTTTGTATTGACAAACAGGGTTATATAAAATTAACATGAAAGCTTTACAAAAACAACAGCTAGAATAAATATATAAAATTGCTAAAGTATTCTTAAGACATGAGGTTACCATTATACAAACCCACTTTAACTTTTTCAATTAGTTAAAAAAAATCAAGTTTAAACAGTGATTTGTGTAATGTAGCAGCAAAAACAGTGATGTAATGTATTTGCAATATGATGTGATGTTATATGTGTAATATAAAAGCATCAAGCCTCATAATCTCTTTAAAAAAAACTATACACCCAGATATAATATGATGAACACCCAGCTATGTGTTGGATCTAAAATGATTTAGCGGGACTTGATTTAGCATTGTAACTACATTTGATATATCTGGGTCCAAATGTCAAATGTAGTCACAATGCTAAATCAAGTCCCAACAATCAAATCATATATAAAATATTATTATATATTAGAATACTAAGACTTTACTGAATTGTTGTAACTTGAATGTAGTAACTTATTTAAGTATTGTACCTATTCTTTGGGTGTCCAAAATAATTTTTCGAAATGGACTATAAAGGTTTATGCTTTCAATGCTACTGCATTATACAACATCATATAACAAAACAAAAAAAATATATAGTTTCAAATTTTAAAAGATATGTTGAGCCTTTGTGTAAAAAGTGTCTTTAATATTTACAACTAATACAAGTATAATTTTTGACTTCATGTATAATGAAAATATATAAAAATTTTTAATAATAATAAACTTTATTTATCTTATATAATAATAAGGCGATAGTCATTGGATTATTTTTATAACAATTGTTTTTATTTTCAAAAGGTTACTTTCCCATTGTTTTTTAATGATTTGATGAAAAAATTAGAAAAAAAAGAAAACAAATCTTTAAGAATAATATCCAGTAAATAAAAAATGTTTAAACTTTAGAAATTTTGTTACAATTGAAATATTTAAAGTTGTATTGTTGGATTTTAAAAAGTACAAATTATCAACTTTCTACTACCCACTAAACAAGAAAAGAATTATTAGTTAAAATTAGTAAAAATGATGGAATTCTTTAGAAAAAATTGAAATTTAACACTAAACTGTAAAAAGCTAATTTTATACTAGCGTGTTATACTGGGAAGTTTGTAATTAAAACTGGATTGTAAATTTTTGAAAAAAAAAGCAAAATAGAAATACAAATAATGTAACATAATTTAAAAATAACTTTAAATTTAAACTTACTTTGCCTTCAAAAAAAAATCTTATTTATGCAAGTTTAGCATTATGCAAATTGTTTGTAAATGAAATATATTTACCAATATATAACACTCACACAACTTTTGTTACATTTGCTATATTAGAGTCTCAGAATTGAATCTTTATATAGTTTTATACTGAAACTTGTATTTGGTTTGCATAAACAAACCAAACAAGTTTTGGTTTGCTTCGGCTAAACTTGTTTTGGTTAAACTTTCATTAAACAAACCAAACACAAGTTTTGGTTTGTTTCGGTCAAACTTAGATTAAAATCAAGAATAGATTAAAATTTCATTAAATAAGTTTTTTTACTTTGATATATACTACTTTTATGCTATTTTTTTATTTATTTATATTACTAATAAATTGATAATTATAAGAGTATTTATTTTAAATATTATTGCTTCGTTTATTTGTTAATGTATGTATTTTTTGAAATGTTATGAATGTGAGTTTTTTGAATGTTCAACCCCCCCACCTTCCCATGATCTCCACTATGTAAATATGAAATAAATAAAAATTATGCAAATATAGTAAAAAAATATACTTACTTAAAAGGTTTTTCACCAGTATGAGTAAGCAAATGTCTAGTTAAGTGTGATTTTCTATTAAATCTTTTTTCACAGTATGAACACGGCCATGGTTTTTCACCAGAATGAATCATGTTATGTCTTTTAAGATGAGATCTGTTATTAAAAACGCGAGAGCAAGTAGGACATGGAAACTCTTTTACATTTGTTTGTGTTATCAAATTTTGATGACCACAAGACTTTTTTGTTACCTCTACATCACAAGTTAAACACCATTTACGATGCTCTGCTAAAGGAGTACCTGCAGGAACTTTTCCTTCATTCACTATTCGCTTAGAGGGAGAGCTTTGA